AGTATAAAAACAACAAAACAATACAATGTAAAACCATATAAAATCATATAGCAAAATTCATAGTGAAATAATCCATAACAACCAATACAGGTAGTCCTTGACTTACCATCACAATTGAGCCCAAAATTTCTGTTGTTAAGTGAGACATTTGTTAAGTGAGTTTTGCTCCATTTTATGACCTTTCTTGCCACAGGTGTTAATTGAATCACTGCAGTTGATAAGTTGGTAACATGCAGGGCTTTTTTTGTCATAGAACGCCCAGAACGGAGTTCTGGCACCTTTTTTGGATGGAACCTTGTAGGGTAGGCAAGGCGGGTTGTATGACCTGTGTGACTTCCGGCACCTTTTTTTTTTTTCAAAAAAAGCACTGGTAATATGGTTGTTAAGTGAATCTGGCTTCCCCATTGATTTTGCTTGTCAAAAGTTTGCAAAAGGATCACATGACTGTGGGACACAGTAACGGTCATAAGTATGAAACAGTTGCCAAGCATCTGAATTTTGATCACATGATCATGGGAATGCTACAAAGGCCATAAGTGTGAAAAATGGTCATAAGTCACTTTTTTCAGTGCTGTTGTAACTTTGAATGGTCACTAAATGAACTGTTGTAAGTCGAGGATTATCTGTATAGCTACTGTACCAGCTCTACCATACTCCCATTGGCACAGCCATGTATTCAAGACCTTGCAAAAACCCAGTGAAGTCAGACCTGATCTGATCTCCAGGGTAGGTGGGGTGATGTTCTGCAGTGCAGCTGCTATGACAGAAAAGCCTCTCTTCCTGGACCCCAACAGATGATACTCCCTGGTTGACAGGACCCAGTGCATACCCTTCATGTCAGACCTGATGGAATGGGTTGATGTGATTGGAAAGAGGCAGTACCTCAAATAGTACATTATATGCATGCAACCAATTTTGGTTTATTGATGATATAAGATGCTATCATTTTTCCCTAATGGAATCTCCATTTTATTCAAACCTTTTCCTTCAGATGTGTCTGTTATACACAAACAAGCAAACAGGTAAATGTCTATGGAGATTCTCAGTCATCCAGGTCATGGTTGTCCCAAAGGTGCTGTTTCAGGAGGCAACTGGACTTTCTTTTTTTTATTTGAAGACATTTCACTTCTCATCTAAGAAGCTTCCTCCGCTCTGACTGGATGGTGGCGAATGGAAGGATTAATATTCCTTGCAGACAGCTGGTCATTTGCATTATTTTAGAGCGTTGTTGATACCATTTTTCAAAGAAAAAACAAGGAAGTCCGGTTGCCTCCTGAAAAAGCACCTTGTATTCTCAAAAGTATTTGTAATGTAATGTGTTGTTTTAATGCCCACTATGATTTAATTTCCCCCCATGTTTTGCTATGTTGCCTTATTGTGTCAGAGGAGTGTTCTTGGAAGGGATGAGTGAAATGTATGTTAAGAAAATACACTACCAGCAAAATCGCTCAGGGTGCAAAGGTCATCCCACAAGCATCCATGTCAGGCAGCAATGATACAGGAAGACGCTGGAAGCAAGTAATCACTTTAGCAACACCAGCAAAAGCATCATTTCATATTGTGTTGGAGAAAGCAATGTTAACCACTGTATTTTACCAAGAAAACTATATGGGTAGGCTATGTAAAGAGTCTGACAATCTAATGCTAGATGGTGGCTATTAATTCAGACATTGCTTAACATACTACCAGTACTGACAAAGACCTGACGGTCTTTTGGAGTAGTAATGCTCTTAGCATGAATGTGGCTCAGTGAAATATGAACTGAATCAATTGGCATATTAAACATCAGTGAATTGAAAATACTTACAAAAACATTGTATGACCAGGTTCAAAATATCCTACTTCAGATGCATTAAGTGAAGACCCAGCTGGGTCTCTGGAGAAAGCTCTAATCTTGGAGAAAATGAACAACAGCAAGGAAGGTACAGTGGTGCTGGATGTACCTTAGAAGAACTGATGGATCAGGTTGGGAACAGATATTCCAAGGGGAAAATCTATTTATGTGGTTGCTATAAACTGACACATAATCACCAGTTTAAAACATAATTTACTTTGTCTTTTTAAAAATGCTACACTGTTATTTTATGTTAACAATGCACATTGATCCACTTTCAAATAATTGTGAAAAGCAAGCTACCAATTAATAGATGAATTAGAAATGCATTAAGAGTGTCAGTTATTGTTGCTATATTTATTCTATAGATTTTAGGGTTATATAGTGGGTTATAGACAATATTATGATTTTACAGAATACTATACTTCTTGACCTTATGGTCTTCTATAACTCTTTTTGCTTATTTCAATAATGTAAAACGCCCTGTATAATGAATATAATGAATAATACAAACTGAAGCTGTCTTCTGATTTTATAAGACATTTATATTTAGTAGACATCCTTTATTCACCTATTAAAGATGGAAGAATCCTCTCATTTTGCAACTGGCCAGCCAAGCCACAAACAGCCTGTTACTTTGCAAAGTCTGCAACAAGCTATTATGGCATCAAAATGAAGACACATCCAACATTATCATCATAATCATCATAATTTTCACAATTATGTAATTTGGGTCAACTGTGTTATGACAGCTGATTCAAGTCATGTGACAATATCATGATGCACACATCATCCTTTTGTTTCTCCACCACCACCACAAAGACACTCCCACCCTTTGTCACAAATAATTTTGGGTGTCTCTGGGTTTACTATTATCTTTGTAATTACATCCAACTTCTGTTAGTGATGTTCAAACAAGCCACCATCACACTCTCTTCTTTTGAAGAAATAAAATTAAGCAACAGGCAACATATAATAAAAGCATAGTTAATTCAGGCTAAGTGTAATGACAAGTAAAGCACCCATAATGCACTATATAATTAGCTTGTACTCATCCAATTATATCTGAAACCCCAGGAAGATTTCATTGTGCTTCTCTGAATTATTCTGCTACCTGAGCATGAAACAACAAGTCTCTCCAAACAAGCCATATATCACAGAGCAATTTGATTTTGTTGATCATACTTTATTTCTTGAACACAATTGTAGTTATAATATGTTTTATTATTTATTTATATATTTATTTATAGAGGTGTAGAGATACAACAAATATTAAATCTTTACAATGCAATTTTATCACCTACTTTACAATACAGTAATATGGCAAAAAGAGTCAGTTTGGTGTAGTAAGGCATCAGGCTAGAAACCAGGAGGGATTGAGTTCTAATCCTGCCTTAGGCAAAGACAGCTGAGTGACTTTGGGCCAGTCACACTCTCTCAGCCCTAAGAAGCAGACAAAGACAAATCACTTCTAAAATCTCTCTCTCTCTCTCTCTCTCTCCCTCTCTCTCCCAGCAGCAAACAGGCAGTACAGGAGGACTTGTGTGGGTATCTCTGTGTGTGGGGGTGTGTGTTATATACTTACAAGCTCAATCAGGCATTACACAGGCAGATGAATTTGTGGGGCTCTAGGCACCCAGTCTCTTTAGCAGTCAAAGTCAAAATGACCATAGAGGGCAATGTCCAGCAAATGAACAGGTGAATTTGTGCCTGGTAGTCTAAAGTAGCCAATAGGAACTGGACAGATTTCCAACCCCTAACTGCAATGCTACTAACATAATCAATGAGGCATTGTAAATCATTCATATGGCTTGTCTTGTGTTGGGAGAATAAAACACTAGAACAGCTAAAGATGATTTTAAGCAAACTATACAGCAGGCATGAACAAGTTGGTGATATCATGTGACCGTATTGTCACAAAAATTAAAGTGCCACTTTAGCAGGACATAAGGATTAGCCATACAACAGGTGGTGAGGTGCTTGGTTTTTTGTTTTGGTTATTCATTGATTTATACATTGACTTGTCTTATATTCCGAGTTGCTTTCTTGCGTATTCTAGTTGCCACCAGATGGTTACATAGAAATTGACCTTTGCCAATCATTAGAGCTTTGATCAATCAAGGCTTTCAGAAAACGCTTTTACCGAGCAGAAGGGATAGACTAGGTAGCCTTGAGTCATACCCATGCAGTACATAGCCATTACCTGATAAAAAGTACAAGTCAGTTTTGTAATATTTTGGATAAAACCCAATTTTAGTTCAATCATGTTCATGCTATTTTATGTAACCTAGGATCTCTAACGTTGAGATCACATACTCTTGCCTTGCCTGCATCCCACTGTGGTGCACTGATCCGGTGTTAGGCTGTAATTATAACCATCTTTTTTAGTCTATGTTTTACAATGTAGCTCATGTAACTTTTCAGTGAGCGGAGCAAAACCATAAAATCGCTGAGCCATTCATTCTGTGAATGCAGCCATGTACAGTATTAAGATAGTCGAATAATCTTTTTACTTCTCCAAAATTGGTTCTAAAAAACAATTCAAGAAGAAGCCATTCAAAGACCGCTTCCTACGGTAGGAGTAAGGACATTCTCGCTAAATATGATTTTCACTCAATTTTTAAAAAGCACATCCCAGCTACCATCATTGCCGCAGACCCTTCAGCTTCCAGACACGTGGTCTCAATATCTAAGTCATGGTTTATTCAGAGATGCCAGGTAGTTTAATTCCATCTTCCAAACTAAAGTGTTACTCAAAAACGCTCAAACTCGGATTCTGTCGAGCCTCCCCGGAACAGGAAAAGCGCAAGAGGAATTTGCTCGCGTAATAGACTAGAGCAGGGGTAGGCAACCTCGGCTCTTTTATGACTCATGGACTTCAACTCCCAGAATTCCTGAGTCAGCTATACTGACTCAGGAATTCTGGGAGTTGAAGTCCATGAGTCATAAAAGAGCCGAGGTTGCCTACCCCTGGACTAGAGAGTTTTAAAGCAGAGAACTGCAAGGAAACTCCTACCGCTAGAGGGCAAGCGACTACCTCTGCGCCGTTCTTCCTTCCTTCTGGGAATCGAAACTGAACCGCGGGAAGCGCACACCTCCATCCGTCCCCCTTCTTTCCATTCCTTAGCTCCTCTGGCTAACCCGCACGTGCATGCCACAACAGCCAATGGCGACCGAGTTTGTTGCGCAGAGCCAATCAGCTGTATCTTAATGGGAAGCAAGTGCCTTGCCGGGTGATTCTTAGCGTTATGGCTGCTTGCTGTGCTGCTTGCTGTTCGTGGCTGAGATGGAGGACGAAGTCAGTGGGGACTGCTGTGATAGCAGCCTCCCGCGAAGTAGGCCCTATGGGTCTTCGGTTGAGAGGGCCCGGCTGCCTTCGCCTTATGCGGCTGAGTTCGACGACAAGCTTTAATGGCTCTTCTGCCACCTCTGTAGCGATGACTGTGGATGTTGGAAGCAAGTAAGAAAAGACAGGAAGGCTGCCTCCTTATCAAGGGAGGGGTCTTTTTTTTCGTCCCAATAGGAAAATCTGCGCATGGATGATAAACCGCTGGAGAATCTTTCCAAAGCGTAGTTAAGTTTCGGAGTAGCTCGAGTGGTTCTGACCACGTGCAGGTTGACTTCCTCCCTGGGGTGTTTGTGTTTTTTTTTTATTGTTTATGCAGAATTACTTCAGGCTGGATGGAGCACAATATGTTTCCGTCCTGTCACTTTGAAATTCTCTGTTGCATCCAGTATTTTCTGTAGAATTAAAAAGATACTGGATTGAGATGAACGGATTCTAAGATGAACTAAACATCAACATGTTCTTCCTTTTCTAGGAAATTGGAAATATCTTCAGGAAAACTAGCCAAATTTGCTGATGGTTGTGCTGTAGTTAAGGTATTCGCTTCACTGTGAAATAATTTTGTTCATACCATTGAGAAGTTTGTGGGCTGGTTTCCCCCCTCAATTTTTATCCTAAAAATATAATAGATCCTGGGAATAGAGTTAGCATGATTAATCTCAGTTTCCTTTGTTTTTTGTATGTTTAAATTAAGCTAGGTGATACAGCAGTGATGGTGACAGCGGTCAGTAAATCAAAAGCTTCTCAAGCTCAGTTCCTGCCTTTGGTGGTATGTATTTCAATAAACAGTTCTAAAATATATGCCAAGCATAATTCTACAGAAAGTCCTCGACATGACCACAATTGAGCCCAAAATTTATGTTGCTATGTGAGAAATTTGTTAAGTGCCCCTTTTTTTGCTATGTTAATTGAATCACTGCAGTTGTTAATAACATGATTGTTAAGTCAATCTGGCTTCCTCATTGACTTTGCTTGTCAGAAGGTCACAAAAGGGGATTGCATGACTCCTGGAAACTACAACTGTCATAAATATGAACCACTTGTCAAGTATTCAGATGTAAATCACGTGACCATGGGGATGCTGCAATGATCGTAAGTGTGAAAAATGGTCACAACTCACTTTTTTCAGTGCAGTTGTAATTTTGAACAGTCACTAAATGAACTGTTGTAAGTCAAGGGCTACTATATAACTTTTGGTCATAATGCAGAACATTTGTCAAAATAGTAAGATTTTTAGATGTTGTATTGAAAAATATTTCATAATTCTGAATAGACCAGGTAAACTGGAATATTTATTCCTGATTCATTACATAAAATGTCACCTTGTCTTAAAAATTCAAAACAAAATGCTTCCTCTTGCATTAGGTTGACTATCGGCAAAAGGCTGCTGCTGTAGGAAGAATACCTACCAATTACTTGAGAAGAGAACTGGGTACTACAGATCATGAAATTCTTACAAGCAGATTAATAGGTATGCAGTATAAACATTAAGTAGTCTTATTTATAAGTTTTGGTTTTCTTTAAAAGACAAATTGTAGAAACTGCTGAATTGGATCATGTTCAGTTAATTATATCTCCTGTGAAATTGGATTAATAAATGATATACTTATTCTGTATCTAATGTAGCACTTATGGCATCTGTTCAAGAGAGCTATATATGTTTTAGAACAAGTCCTTATGGATGGATTGCTACTTGTTTTCTACTGTAAGGTTTGAAAGGTGATGGTCAGAACAAACTAATACATTTTGCCTGGCATACTAAATACTACTACATAACCAGTCACTCTGGATAGCAAGTTGGGTGACATGATTCGATCACAGTGTCAATCTGAATTTCAAACCACTGATATTTTCATTTGATAAAAAGTTAGTCATGTACCTTCTCCAGATGTTTGGGAGGGAGATTGGCCAGAGAGCGAAGAAAAAAAGACGGGAGGAGAAGGGAGTTTTGTTTCTCTTTTCCTCTCAGGCTCCCTCCTGCTTTGTTGTGCCTTTCTTGCCTTCCATGCTAAAAGCACATATGCTGTTTCTTGGGAGAGAAGTGGAAGAACCTGGTACCATGTAGCAGCAGCATTTGGATGTTTGGGGAAAGCAAACCCCACCACCACCACCATGCTTCTTTGCTGGGATATGAGGCATCTTTGCAAATTATTCCAACAAATTCCTGTTGCTCCTAAGCAGCCACACATGTGGGGGTTTAGCATACTTGATTTCAGCAGGAAGGATTTTTAGCATCAGCAAAGAAGCAGTAATGAGGTATGAAGCATGGGATGCCTCAGGAGAGTGTGTGAGACTGCATGCATCTCTGAGTAGAGCGTGCACAGTCTGCAGCTACCTTCCCAGGGTCTTCTCCACTCCCATGAGGCACCCTGTACCCTGGGTCTCCATCTGCTTAACACCCACAAGATTGCTTAACAACCTCTGCTGGTATTGCAGCAATTGAGTGAAGCAGTCACATGATGTTTTGTTTAACAGCCACTTTGCTTAATGACCAAGATTCTGGTCCCAATTGTGGTTGTAAGTCAAGGACTACCTGTACTAATAGGTTCTTTATGCTTTTCTGTATCTGATGAAAATGTACATGGAAGCCATCCAATAGAAATCAGATGTGACAATGAGCCTTATTCCATATTTTCTTTTTCCTAAAAGCAATGGAATTCTTGAGCTAGTATCTAGAAACAATTTTGTGAATGGGAAAATAAGCTGAAATTTAATATGGACAAAATAGAGGCATTATTTGTAGGAAATTAACACTTTTTTCCTTTGGGTTAGATTTTTTTGGAGGGAGTAAACTCTTGAGGAATTCTTGGGACTGATCTATGTTATTATTGATAGTGCTCATTTTATTTTTGCTATTTTCTTATTACAGAGATAGTATGATGGGTTGTCAGATATTTTAGATTTCATCAATGTAAACCTCCATATTCAAAGGATTCTGGGAGTTATAGCCCCCAAAATCTGAGTTTTTATTTTTATATGGGTGTTTATTTTGTTATTTAACAATAGTCTGCACAAAAAACAATTAAAGAAATAATATGCTATTTTAATAAACATGTGATTTTGGCTTCTAGAACATTATTCTAAGTTTATTTTATTTGTTTATTAAATTTATATGCTGCCCAACTTACCATCAAGTGACTGGGCAGCTTACAACTAGATAAAAATGTGAATATAAAACATTAAAATATTAGAATGATAAATCAGAATTTCTTCTAATAAACCAGTTGAGAAAGCTTTTAAAATCCATCAACAAATAGTTTGCATTTTCAAGAAATATCTTATCATTAAACAATTATTAGTTTTTCTGTCAACAAGAAATAGACAACCAGCTCCTTATTTTTAAGTGAGGTACAGTTAGTCCTTGACATAAGACCACAACTGAGCCTAAAATAAGTGAATCTGGCTTTGTCATTGACTTTGCTTATTAGAAGGTTACAAAAGGTGATCTCATGACCCTGGGGCATTGCAACAGTCATGCATACATGCCAGTTGCCAAGTGTCCAAATTTTGATCACGTGACCATAAGGATGCTGAAATGGTCAGAAATGTGAAAAATGGTCATAAGTCACTTTTTCCAGTTCCGCTATAACTTCAAACAGTCACTAAATGAATGGTTGTAAATCGAGGACTACTTGTAGTGGATCATATAAATAAATGCAACAAGCCTAGTTCTGGAAAATATTTAGCTAAAATAACAATTTTTTTATTATAAAAGCCATATTGCAAGGTTGTTACCTTTATAGATGATCTGAGCATTTTTAAATAAATAAATTAATTTTCTGGGG